ATTAAAGGCGTGCACCACCACCGCCCACTAGCAGTGGCATCTTTTACTGAAAAGAGGAATTGGGGAGAAAAACAAATTACCCTCATACTGCACCCCAAACTTGCTCCACATATGACCTTAGGAAAGAGAAAAACGTTCTCTCAGGATATTGCAAAGAAAATACCTTTTGTTTTGTTTTGTTTTGTTTTGTTGTTGTTTTCTCTTTGAGACCGGGTAAATGAGGATAAAATCCCTCTGTTTCACTTCTGGTTGTTTTCTTTCTTTGAACTTGGTAAAGCTCTGAGAAAATGAAGGCCCTCAAGCCACAGTGTGTGTGGTTTGTTCCCGTGCACAGTGCGGGGGTTCTTGGGGTCTCAAAAGGTGTTCGAGTCCTTTTACTTGTGGACTCCTAAGGTTTCATTGATGTCCTTTGCTGGTATTGTCACTAACATCTCTGTAAAGAAATGACTCATGCTTTGTTTCCACAGATAATCAGGCAGGCAAACATAAAGAGAGGAGGAAAATTTCCATAGATGCCAAGGCGGTTTCCTCTAAAGCAAGTGAAGGTGAGTGGCAGACTGGAGGGTGTAGGCCCCGAGCACAGGACTCGCGGGCCTGCAGTGTCGTTTCCTGGTTACCATGCACTGTGTCCTTCTGGGACAGGTAGACTCCATTGTAAGCCTTGGAAATGAGTCAATAATAAGGAAAAAGCAAAGAACTAGGGACTAGCTATTCTATGTGATTTTCTAAACTCTCTGCAGGAGGCTTGTCTGTTAGTCTGCTATCATGATGTCAGTCACACACACATTTGGTAATTCTGAAGGATAGGTTAGTTTGCAGTTTACTATGGAAACTCACCCTTTGGAAGTGGAGAGCTTAATTTGGAGATTGTAAAACTCTCACTAAGAAAATATTATTTAAGTTTAGATTGAAATATAATTTTTGTTTGTTTTTGTTTTTCGAGACAGCCCTAGTAGTCCTGGACCTCACTATGTCAACCAGACTGGCCCCTTCCTCAGTGCTGGGGTTAAAGGCATGTGTCGCCATGCCTGACATGGCTGAAATGTAATTATTTTTAAACCGAGTTTCATATAGCCCAGGCTGGCTTCAAACACCCTGTATAGTCCAGGATGACCCTTGAACTCCTGATGCTTCTGCCTCCATCTCCCAGTGCTAGGATCCCAGGTGTGTGCCAACTTGCTCAGCTGAAATAAAAACTTAAGACCGTGCAGAAGCATGCTGACCAACGTGTTTTGTTGTTTCTAATGCAGTCACCATGCCCCTTCCCCAACTCGTGTCCTCCTTCCCCCCTTTTAATTAGCCACCGTGTTCATACTGCCTGTGTCTTCGTGGGCACAGGGCTAATCACTGAAGCATAGGCAGCCTACCAGGGGCCACATTCCTGAAGAAAACGATTCTCCCTCCCGAGAAGTCATTAACAGGTAGTAGCTGCTCCGCTAGGGTAGGCCTGTGAGCCCCCTGCGCCGAGAACTCTTGTGGTATTTTAACAGTGTGTTTGCCTCCCCTTCTAATTATGTGGCATTAGTACAGAGAAATGCAGTGGGGTTTATTATGTTGACTTTTTACTCAGAGACTGAGGTAGACTTACCTGTTGAGCCTAAGAGTAGATAGTGAGTGTGTGTGTGCAAATTCTTCAGTCTCTCTGTGACACATGTCTGCATCTTATTTATTTTTACCTCATTGCATTTATGCTTTTTATTTTCTCAAATTATTTTTAAAATAAAAATTTCTTTTAGTTGACAAATTTTAGAATTGTGTGTATGTGTCTTAGACAACATGCTATTTTAGAATATGTACACATTGTGAAATGACCAAATTGAGCTAATTAGCAAATGTTTTACTTCACATCCTTAAAAATCGACCTTAGAAATTTTCAAGAGCACAGTACATGCTGCCCAGCTGCCCTCTATTCTGATTTTGATAAGCATTTTCATTCTGTTCCTAAATAAGAGCAACTCCTTTTCTAACTGTGATGAGATGGTGGGGATTTTGTTTAGTGACTTTATTGTATAAAGTGTAAAGTTGGCAGCCATGTGCTAATCACTAAAATTAGATTTGAGTTTCGTTGGTTCCCTGGACTGAGGACGTTTGAGGCTTCCTGGCCTGGTTAACCCTAGACAGTCGCTCTCCTCAGGCCTTAGTTCCTTAGCTAGTGAGTTGAGGCTGAGGCATCATCTTGCTGGACAATCTCTCACCCTTTCTGGCCTTTGGTAATCCTAACGGTGGGTGTTCACAGAGACACAGGACTCGGGACACACTCTTTCCTGCCTGTGCCTTGTCCAGACTTCCCTTATCCCGGAAGAGCCATGTCTGGACACGAACAACAAAACCTAGTTGTAAGGTTGTTAGCCCAGATTAAACACACTAGAAGATAGCACTAGAGAGAACCTTGGAGATCTGAACCAGAAATTGATTTAATTAATTTAAATGCTAAGTGGTAAAGCCCAAGCCATTGCTCCCACCTAATATGGAACATTGGGGGTATGGAGCTGTCTTCCAGAACATCCCAGCCCCTGGAGAGCAGCAAGAGGTGTAACTAAAGCCTTATTGTTGTAGACACAAGAAAAGGTTGTTTGGCTGGGACTTGCTAAATTGTTCCCTCTGTCTTCTCTGTGACCTATGACATCAGACGTTCAGGCCATGGGGTCGTGTGTACATCCTAGCACCTAGAACTGAAGGAAGCGGAGCTGGTAATGCAGAGCCCAGGTTTGTCTTGTGAGGAAAGGAGGAAAGCTCAGTCAGTGTGCAGACACACCAGAGCCTTTTGTGTGCCACTGAGCACTCTGATGCCCAGGAAGGGAGGGCACAGAGCCCTCGGTGTCTAGACAGATGTCCAAGGTCGGCACACCTGATTGCTCACCCTTTTCTCCACAGTTACCAATCAGAGAAGACACTCCTCTCTGGCCCGGATACACTCTATGATGATCGAAGCACCCATCACCAAGGTTGGTCTCCGCTGAGTGTGCAAGCCCCTGATGTTCCCAGTGAATTGCTTCCCTGGCCAAGAGCGGGGACCTGCGGGAAAGAAGGGTGCTCCTCAGCTGTGTGATGTTGTCTCCTCTGAAGAAGGATGGGCTAGAGACACTGTAACTCACACTGACTCAGTGGCATATTGGCGACTGTTAGCAGCTTGACTCTCGACTGCCCCCTGGTGTCTGGAGGGTTACAAACTCACGTCTTTCTTCCCATGCTGTAGATAATCAACATTATCAACACTGCCCAGGAAAACAGCCCTATGCCTGTGACAGAAGCCTTGAACCGTGTGCTGGAGATTCTGAGAACCACTGAGTTATATTCACCACAGTTTAATGCTGAGGATGACCCTCACGCCGCCGACCTCGTTGGGGGCTTACTATCTGTGAGTTGATTTGCCCGGGCCCCTGCTGTCTGTTCCTGTTTGCTTTCTCGGAGCTTATCTGGACGGGCTCTGAAGTCAAGCAGGGCATCTGGGTAGGGCACAGTAGAGGCCATGACTCCTTCATGGTTTCTCTTCAGCTATGCTTGGACTAAGAGGTGCCTGCTGCTTACCTCCCAGGGAACCCTCAGCTTGGAGCAGAAGAGAGATGATATTGATCTGTTTTCCAGTGTCACTTAGGGTTTTACAAGTCGTTTATTTAAAGAAGACATTTTCAGTTGTATTAAAGGGTTTTTTTGGTTTGTTTGTTTATTATGGTTTTGTTTTATTTTGAGGCAAAGTCTCACAATATAGTCCTTGCTGGCCTGGAATTTGCTAGGTAGACCAGGCTGTCCTTGAACTCATGGAAAGCTGCCTGTTTCCGCTTCTCGAGTGTTGAGATTAAGGGTATTGTTGGACTTTCTTTTGGGACCACCAGCCCCCAAATAATGACATGGAGACTTATTATTAATTATGAAAGCTTGGCCTTAGCTTAAGCTTGTTCTCAACCAGCCCTCAACTTAACCCATTTCTATTAATCTATTTTCTGCCACATGGCTGTTTCCTATCCTCCATTTGTACCTCCGACTCCCTCCGTGTTTCTCTGGCTTCTCCAGCACGCCTAGATTCATCCTGAGTTCTCTCTCTCCCCGGAAGTCCTGCCTATTCTCTCCTGCCTAGCTATTGGCCATTCAGCTCTTTATTAAACCAATCAGAAGACGCCTTGGCAAAGACACATCTTCACAGTGTACAAAAAGATTGTCCCACAACAACACCCAGCTTATCTTAAAGATTTTAAAAGCTGAGAAAAAGAACAGCCATTCAAGTTTCATAGTCGTGGTAGGAGTGTCACATGGTGGTAGAATGCTTGAGTTCCATCCCCAGCCCCAAAAAGAAAACAACAAACCAGACAGAACCTCACACCTTAAACCGAAAGCTACATGACAAATTGCAAAACAGAACTCTCTCCTGCTTATATGTTTAAAAAGTGCCAGGGTGCAGGGCACGGTTTTACCTCCAAAGCATCCCACCAGCCTTTGGATAACTTTGTAGGAAAGAAGGCCTTAGGGGTGTGTCTCTCAGACTCTTGAGGAGCCCTGGACACCAACACTGCAGCCCAATCGGAGCAGAGCTTGCACAAGGAAGACAAACTACACTATACCGGTGTTCTGCCAGCTGCCTTAGTTAGAAACAAAACTTACTCCCTCCCAGTTCCTGATATCTGAAGTCACTAGATTTCAAAAAAGTAAGTTTGGACAGTAAATTCTAGAAGGTGGGGTGATTCCCAGTGGTAACCTCTAACTGTGGTCTGTAGGTCAGGTGAGCATGTGGAGGGTGGGTGGGGTGGGAGTGGAGACAGAGATTGTGGTGTTGGAGCACAGAGGATGCTGAACGATTGGCTGGTGCTCAGCAAACAAGGGGAGGAACCACCTAGAAGGTGCCAAAGGCCAGGGTGGTAGTGGCACAGGCCTTTGATCCCAGCAGAGGCAGAGGTGGAACTCTGTGGGTTTGAGGCCACCCTGGTCTACAGAGCGAGTTCTAGGACAGCCAGGACTGTTACACAGAAAGACTCCATCTCTAAATGTTCCCCAACCCACCCCCCAAAAAAGGTCAGAAAGAAACGTTCTAGAGATGCAGAGTTTGGAGAGGGCAGAAGGAGACTGTCACTAGAGATGCAGAGTTTGGAAAGGGGGAGGAGACTGTCTCTAGAGATGCAGAGTTTGGAAAGTGGGGGGAGACTGTCACTAGAGATGCAGAGTTTGGAAAGGGGGAGGAGACTGTCACTAGAGATGCAGAGTTTGGAAAGGGGGAGGAGACTGTCTCTAGAGATGCAGAGTTTGGAAAGGGG